GCCTGCGGCGAGGGCGTGGACGTGAGCTGCGTGCCCAGCTGCCAGGACGAGGTGCTCGCCTGTGGCACGCCCTCCCAACGGAATGCCCCCTGCGAGAAGAAGGCCGTCGACAAGGCCGCCAACTTCCGCGCCACGTGGGAGAAGGACCCCTGGGCCTCCCGGATGGGGTCGGCGCAGATGGGGTCGGAGGATCGCGCCGCATCGCCGACGCATCGACGAGGCGGCTCGATGCGGAGCCCGATGTCCTCCACGACGGCGTCGCCGATGCATCGCCGATGCGTCGCCGATGCATCGGCGGTGCGTCGGCGGTGCGGCGCGATCCTCCGACCCCTATCTACTCGGACCCCATCTGTGAGGTCTCCAGGAACGCTGCGAAGGCCTGCGTCTGCGAAGCAGGCAGCCCCCAGGAGGTGTGTGCCCCAGCTGGCCTCCACAGGCCCCGATGGCAGTCAAGGGGCGGTGTGCCGCGGGAGGCGGCGCCCGGGTGTTGAGCCCGCCCCAGTCTACCATGTGGACGTGCTGAGGCCAGCCCAAATTGCCTCCTGAGGGCTGCTTGTGCGCAGCCCCAAGCCTTGCGAAGAAGGAGCACCCTCACTCCTTCATGAAGGTCGCCACTTCGGTTCTGCGCAAGAAGGTCGAGACCGGGTGCGAGGACGCGTGCGGTCCGTACGCGGATTCGCATTGTTTCACCGAGTGCGAGACGATGATGTTCCGCTGCATGTGCATGGAGGATCCAGGGCAGGAAGCTTTTTCCTGCCCTCACCCTCCCCCCTCAACTTTCTCGACCTCTTCCTCCCTCCTTCCTCCTCTCTCCATGTCCTCGTCCAAATCCTCGTCCTGGTCCTCGTCGCCGTCATCCTCCTCCCGCTCGTTGGCCCTCCTGCTGTTCCTCCTCCGCTTCTCACACGCCGTCCTTTCTTCTCGCCCATTCTTGGGACGGTGGTGGAAATGGCAAGGAGATCAGGGGAGGCGTAGGATTTTGAGTGGTCCTGGGAAGGAGGACGTCGACGCGAAGAAGTCGGTCTGTGAACAATGCGAGAGCGAAGTCTTCGGGATGTGCCAATCGTGTGCATGTGCCGATCCTGTCCAGGCCAGACCTTGGCCCAGGATCGGTGTACGCACTGAACGTGGGCATTCTTGGTGCCCAATTTCTTAATCTATTTTAAGAGTCTTTCGACTGCAAGAGCCGAAGGCTTCCTGACTGATTGTTTAATCGCTTCGCTCATTCCGCCAGCCCATGTTGCCTCGCCGCTGTCGTTTGTCGGAGTTTTGTTGTCAACGCAGTGCGGTCGGGCGGCTGCCATTTTTCGGAGGCGGTGGGTGGCGGGCCAAAGGCCTCACGGATGTTGGTTGGGCTCGTGGTTGGCTTCTCAGGGGCCTTTGGGAGGCAGTTTTGCGGCCTCTTGGGGGCCGTGTTGGGGCCTGTCGGGGCCTCTTGGGGGCCTCTTGGGGCTTCTTGGGGTGCCTCTTGAGGGCCCCTTGTGGCCTCTTGGGGGCCTCTTGGGAGCCTCCTGGGGCCTCCTCAGTTCCAGGTCCTTTTCTTGCGCCTCTCTTGGGCCGTCTTGACCGCCTCTTGAGCTGTCTTGGGGCCATCTTGGGCCGTCTTGGGGCACTCTTGGAGGTTTCGTGGGCCGTCTTAGGGCGGTCTTGGAAGCCTCTTGGGCCGTCTTGGAAGCGCCGGTACGCCGAAAAGGCGAGAATGTCAAAAACCATCAGAAACTGAAGGAACATAACTAATTTCTGCCTCTGTCCTCTTTGGAGGTCTCTTGGAGGCCTCTTGGGGCGTCTTGAAGGCGCTTTGGACTGTCGGCGTCTTGGATCGCTCTTGGACCGTCTCGGACCGTGTTGAGCTCTCTTCTGCCCAGGACCTGCCCGGGACCCAGCCGGGGTTTGGCCGGGACTTGCGGGGGTACTCTGGTCCGGGGACCCCCAGGGGCGGCCCCGCGCGCGCGAACTAGAAATATTGTTAATCAGTTGCTGGAGATCTTAGCACGCCCTTGGCCCGTTGGGCCGGCGAGTTGATCGGGCGGGCCGAGTATAAATCTGGTTTTTATCGCCTTCATATTGTTTCTCCTTGTCCTTCCGAACGGCTTATAATGGCGCCATGCTTCATTAAGGCTGTTCTGCCATTTTCCTTTGTTCGGCCGTGTGCTTAAACCCCAGGCCGCTGCAATAGTTGAAACACGCAAGCATGGACATCACAGGGTCTTGCATGTATTCTTGCTTCTAAGGTCTTGGCCAAGGCGAAGAATTTCGACGAGAGGTACCACACCATCGCCTAGCTGACTGGTCTGTCGCCCTGAGCCAGTTGGGCTCCCGCGTATGGCATGGCACTTTTCAGGGCAGGTGTGGGCGGTGGGATTCGCCCGTCTGCGCCAAAATCGGTCGAGTCAGGATGACCACATGAGGACGGACGTGCGATGGGCATGCTCCATTGTGCAAGTGGATCCCGCAGAGCGGGGGGCACGGCGACGGGCCCCCAGAGGCAGTTCGCAGGAAGTTCAGTTGCCATCCGTGGGTGCTCGGATGAGTTTTTCTCCGCATGCCAAGATGAGGTTCTCATTGCCAGTGAGACGCCTCCGCCTCCTCACTTTCCTTCCCTTCCAGACTCAGGCTTGCTCACACTCATGTTCGCTCACACCCAGCCTCACTAACTCAGAGCACTCGCACTCATATTTACTCTTACAAGGTTAAGTTGTACTTGCACTCAGTCTCGCACTCATATCCAGACTCACTCATACTCGGGCCACTCATATTTAGAAACGCTCATGCAAAGCTGAGTCATAGTCAGGGTCGGACGCACAGACTCACTCGCACAGGCACTCACTCACACTCCGACCTCACGCTTAAACTTTTTGACGTTCAGACTCGATCACCCCCGAAGGCCACTCATACCTTGATGCGCTCCCGTTGAGCTCAGGCTCCCGGCGATGTGCCAGAAGTGGCATTTGAAGGCCCCGAGGAGGAGCAGCGAAGGGGTACGGCCGGTGCCCGCTCGCGGCCAGATGGTGGGGATGCCTCGGCGGCTCGCTCGTCTGGCGGACCGGGCCCCCCCTCTCTCCTGAGAGCCCCTGCGATCACTGCGACATGGCAGGCGTGTGGCCTGGGCACCTCGTGGATGAGCCGCCAGGGGGTGCGTCGCTTGCCCCCTGCTCTGTCGGATCTGTGGGGGGGCCTCGGGTGGTTTGCTCGTCTCGTGGGCCAGGCGCCCCTCGGGATCACTGCGCTATAGCAGGCGCGGCATCTGTGCACCCCAGGGAGGAGCTGTCAGGGGACATTCGAGTAGGAGATTGTCTACAGAAGTGAATTACCCCAAGCTTGATTTTGTCCTCGAGTCATACGTCGACTTTTCGTGGATCTCCGTTCTACACTTTCGTATGGATTCGGCGAACACATCAATATTGGTGCAAATTAATTCTGGAGTCGATCCCTTGCTCGAGATATGACGCCCGTCTGCCTGCTACTAGACTGTTGGGATGACTTCGGCGGTTTGCTCGTCCGGCAGACCAGGCCCCTCTCTTTTGGGAGCGTCACGCTCATCACAGTGTAACAGGCGCAGCATGTCGGCGATCCAACGGGGGAGCCATGATTGGGAATAACATTTGCCAGCTCCCGCCCAGATTGCGGGGATATGTGTAGATCTGCTGTCCCTGCCTTTTTGAGAGCCTCACTGCCACCATGGCCACCACGATACCCCGCCCCTGCACGCCCCTGACACGGTTCGTGGCCACATAGCGAGCACCGCCGATCGGGTGAGGGGCACTGCAATGTAGTGAAGTCTAGGAGTCGTCGTTACCGACGCAGTCGACAATGGCACACTCGTTTCGTTCCGCTGTTTACGCATACGCCCATCATCCTTGAATCGTCCCCGTTCAGTACTTTTCCAGGGTTTGCAGGAGGAGGTCAGGAGGGAGGAGGCAGGAGGATGATGACGCTGATCGGGCGCAACGCCAGGCGTTGTGCTTGCGCTTGGACGCGGTGCATGCTGCCTCCACGGAGCAGGCGTCGCTGCAGGCGCTGTACGAGCTCGTCCGCGAATGCATCGGGCGCCGCGATCGCCGCCGCCGCTGCCGTCGTCGCTACCATCGTCGTCGTCTTCGTCGTTCTCGTCGTTGCTGTCGTCCTCGAAGATCCAGGATCCCCTTGGGGGCGGTCTGAGGGAGTCGTCTTGGGGTTGAGGGCTCCACGTGTCACTTCGCGTTCCCCTCTTGGGCCCCTCTCGGTGCCGTTTTGGGACCGCTTGAGCGTCTCTTAGGGACCTTTGGGGCCGTCAAGGGGCGATGTGTTTGGCTTCCTTACCATCTAGGGCACTCCCACTAAAGCCGAAAAGCCGACTATGCGAAAATCATCCAACGTTGTTGTTTGCTTCAACGGTTTTGGTCCCTTGGGCCGGCCGGCCCCCATTCCTTCAATGCAGCCCAGGAGGCCCCCGTGAGAGCGCCAGCACGGGCCCCCGAGGCTATCTCAGAGCACGTTCGAAATTTCCCCCCCGCCCCCCGCCAGCCTCCCGAGGCTTCCAGAAGAGTCACGCGGGGATTCCTGGAAACGCGGGAGAGCGCCCTGGAGCTCTCGTGACGGGGGTCCAGACCGTTGAGGGAGCATGTTCGATGCTCATCATCAACACAGAGGGTCAAGGGACCTGAGGGCACTCAACTCCGTGTCCACGGCACGGTGGCGGACGTCGAGGGTCCTCCCTTTGACCGTGTGTTTATGAGAGACCGTCACGGTTCAGTGCAGGCTGCACTTTGAGTGCCTTCCCATCGGCCGTGCCGCACCCCGAAAATCCGAACGATTTTCCATGAGCCGTGCGTCGTGCGTCTAGAGCTTGGCTCCATGGGATTCCCCACTGGGCTTGGCCTATGTTGAGAGATTACCGATATTCTCGCTCTTCCAGTCCAGAAGTGATCATATCAGTCCCGGATCTCACACATCAGTGCTGCCTGCGGCATCGGCGGATAAATACCCCGCAATGTTGGCCCCTCTGTTTAGCAGCATGCTGATTCTCGAGGGGTGCCCGTGCTGTCACGCGGCGGCGCGCCCGATTGTGAGACGTTTGCGCCGCGACCAAGTGCGAGCGCAGCTGTCAAGCAAGACGTTCTCACCCCTCGAGAAGTGGGGCACCAAAGCAATGTGCTGCGGAGCAGTCTTTACGGAGCAGTCTGCGGCCGAGAAGTTTTACCAGATGCCCGATATGCTTTGCAGCATGTGTGGTGATGCAGCTGTCTCACTCGAGCAATCCCTGTATTTCCTCCCCGCCTGCCATGAGGAGCGTGACGATTTGCGCGAAGCTGAACGATAATCGCCCCGACTTGTCCACAATCGGCTGCCAGGATCCTGACGGCAGGTTGTTCTTTCTTCCAGGATTCTTTGAGCACCCAGGAGATCTTCATCCTCGCCCGTTGAATTAGGGAGGCTTCATCGTGTAATGGCCGGGGAGCGAGGATCATAACAAGGAGTTGGAGGCGCAAGGTTTTTTTTGCGACGGCTGTTGTTATAAGCATGTGGTTCCCGACCTGTCCAGGGGGATGGGCTTTGTTGTGCACGCGCCTGACAAGGAAGCTGCTTTTCTTGCCAGCGCTCCTGCTTGGGCCCCGAACCTTCAAACTCTCCAGGCGGCGGAGTTGTTTTGCCCATGTCGGCGGCGGGTCAGTTTGCGATTCCTGTTCCCAGAGGTCACTCGGACTGCCGTACTGTTGTGAGACAATGGAATATGCTTGTTAAGCAGCAACTTTCTCATAACAAGCCTTACAGTGGAGCTTTTGTTAACCTTCAGCCGACGGTCCTATCTTCTGTAATCAAAGTTCAAGACTATGTGATTGAATCTGAGAGCTTAACGGACGAGAGGCGATACTTTAAGATGGGAAATGACGTGGTCGACCAGCTAGCTACAGTGGTGGCGGCGCGTCATCCAGAGCCGACGGAGGAGCAAAAGGAACGACTCACCAAGAGTCTTGTGGCGTCCAGGCTTGCGTGATTTCTCGCTGTTAAGTTGCTCCCGCTCTGGCCGCGTCTGAATTTGAGTGATGCTGAGCTCTCTGCGAAAGAAGCCAAAGGCGGTGCCGCTTATGTAGGGTACGTCTGGATTTGGCGGGGTCGGTTCTGGCAGTGTGAGCGTTGTTTCCTTGGGTCCAGGGCCGACCGGAAGCCGGTCCTAGGAGGTTGCCATAGCGGTCCAGGGGTCGGGATCCTAGGGTCGACGCTCCCCGTTTTTCGGAGCTGGGTCAGTCTATAATCTTCTTGGACTGCTCCGGTCATTCTTTCATTTTTGTATGCCGCCGCCGTTTTTACTATACCAGTGGTGGTCAAGTGCGAGGTCTCCGCCATGAGTGCCGCCCTCTGCCTCTGAGTGGGGTCCAGGGGAAGCGACATTCCCGGAGTCGCATGGCCCTGGTCAGACATCCCAAGCTTGATGATGTTACAGTCGACGTCGGGCCTTGGTCTGAATCCTCTGAGGGGTGGTCGGAATCGTCTCTTGTTTCCTACTCCCTTTTCTCCGTGTGCGTGTTTCCCCCGTGTCTTCGATGTTAAGACTCTCTCCCTCTGCTCCTGCCTGGGCGCTCGTCCCCTCTCTCCCCCTCCGCCCCGCGGGCGCGGCCCTTGCCCGGGGGCGGTGGGCGGCTGCGCCAAGGCTGCAGGCGGCCGTGGATGCCGAGTTCGACGACGGGACGATGTCGGTGCGCTTGTCGTCCTCGTCGTTGTCGTAGTCGTCTTCGTCGTCGCCATCGTCGTCGTCGTTCAACGTTGTTCTTCGTTCCCGTCGACGACGACGGCGTTGTCGGCGTTGTCCTTGTCGCTCGCACGGCGTCGTCGTCGTCGTCCTTTTCGTCTTTGTTCGTCTTCTTCGTCTTCCTCGTCTCCGTCGGAGGGTGCTCGGATTTCGTTGTTGCCGCCGCCGCCGTCGTTATCTAGCATTCGTCATCGATGTGGTCGTCTGCCAGCATTCGGATTTAGCGGTCGTGGTCGTCGTAGTCGTCGTTGTGGTCGTCGTCGTCCACGTCCACGTCGTCACCGGCGTCTCTTTCGAAATCATTCAACGGTCCTTCCTATATTTATCGGGATGAAGAGGAGGAGGAAGTGGAGGAGGACGAGGAGGAAGAGGAGGAGGAGGAGGATGTGGAAGAGGAGAAGGAGAAGGAGGCTGGTAGTCGCGATTTCTTCTGTCAGCAGGAGGATTTGGGCGACCACGACGGCCCCGAAGGGGGCTGGAACATCGTCGGGGCGAGGGGGGCCTGCCGCCGCGGGATGGGAGGCACTGCCCCTGTTCAGGCCCTCGGAGACGGTCACTCAGAGCGCTGTTGCCAATGCGGGCGGCGGCGACGGTGACGGTAATGCTCACGATCGGTCTCTACAACCCGCTGAGCCCCCCCCCTGGCGCGAGGAGCTTGTCAGCCAGGCGCTGCGCAGTTTTGATCTGGTGGTGCTCCCTGGCGCGCAGCAGAGACAGACGGATGCGCAAACACCAGTGACGGCGACCGGAACGAGTCCGCATCTTGCGATTAGCTGGGGATGAAGAAGTGGTCGGTTCACGAACAAGAGCTGCGGCATCACGATCTTGATGAACCGCAAAACGAGGCGCAACTGCATCCGTCAAGTCTTCATCCCGCCGACGAAGCTGGGGATCACGGGGAGGGTGGGAGCTCTCAACCTCGCGACGGCGACGGCTCCAATGTTACTGGTTGGCGTCTACCTGACTCCGCCGGGCACGTATCAGGAGAGGGCGGAGGTCGTGCCGCGCATCCTTGGCTGGATCACGGGCATCATGGCACAGGTGGGCAATCGGTACATGCTGGTAATCGCTGGCGACTTCAACGAGTAGGTGGGGTATGTGCAGAGCGACGAGGTTGCAGGTCGCGATGGACGGCATCGGCACTCAATGCTGGTCCCTCTTCTACGTGGATGGGCGGAGACGAATTTCGTGACGGCGGCCAACGCACATTTCACGCTGCCCGCGAGCTACCGCGGCGACAATCACAGCAGCTGAGTAGATCACATCTTCGCCCCCAGCATGGCGATGAACTTCGCCCCGATGATCAGGGCGCGGCCGGACCTTATGAGGGCCCCCTCGCCCTTCCTGACGGCTGATCTGCGAGACCACTGCCCTATGGAGATGCACCTCGGCTATTATCCAAAGATGGCGGCCATGCCGCGCACGGGCAGAGATGCTCTGATGCGGTGCCTGCCCAGGGGGGAACGACAGCGGGGGTTCTGCTCGACGGCCGAGTCGATCTTGAGGGGGCAGGCGAGTGCGCGGGGCAAAATTGACGGAGACCCGACTCCAGAGCGGAAGCATCATATTCTTACAACCGTTGTGCGCAGCGCGGCCATGTCGACCTTCCTTGTCCAACGACGAATGGGCGAGGAGTATGCGCACCTTGCGGAGCAGCGGGTGCAGGCGCTGGAGGGGCGCGACAAGGTTGTGAAGGAGCTCGAGGACTTGCAGCGCAGACGCATCGCGAACCAGGTGTGCTTCGGTGACCGCGTCGATAGATGCCGCGCTCCCCCCCTGGGATAGCAGACCCCCGCGGCCCCTCGCAGCCCCCGCTGGGGGGGGGGGGGGGGGCGGGGCCAAGGGGTCCGCTGGAGGGGCGGTGCAGCGCGTCGCATGAGCTTCGAGGTGATGAAGGGAGTACTGGTGCTAATGAGGACGGCGGCCCGGAAAGAGAGCCGATGATAGTCGGGGCCGGGCTCGGGCGGCTGACGGGGGAGCGCAGAGCTCGACGCAAGGCCCATCAGGGGCAAGTCTTCCGGGAGAGGACTGGGGGGCTGAAGTGGGCTCGGCGCGCCTGCGGCTTCTCCAGAGTTGTCTTGTGCTTCGTGGGCGGCTGGCGGGCAGGGGCAGGGGCGTCCGAAATGGGGCCTGCGTCGCGGCCAGCTGCGCGCTGGGCTCGGCGGAGTGGGGGGCAGGGGTGGCAACGTCAGGGGTCGCTGGCGGCATGGGGTCGCGGGGGGTTAATCTGGGCCGGCAGCTCGCCGAGGCAAACGAACGGGGCGAGTTCCTGCGATCCCGGGGGGCGCGGCGAGATGCAGTCCACGACGGCGCCCTGCGCGACGAAGTGCGGCGCGGCCTCGAGTCGACCGCGAAGTGCCGCCGAAGAGCCCCGAGGCGAAAGGCGTTTCCAGAATGGGGAGTCTGCGCAGAGATGCTAGCGATCTGCCTGGCACCGATGAGACGGATGGACGGCGCGGGGATGGGCGTCGGGCGCGTTGGCTCAGCACCGATCGCGGTCCCTAACTTCGACCACTGCCTCTGGGACTTGCTCCTGGACTCTCGCGCGAAGAAGACGCTCGCGCTGTCGGGGAAGCAGGCTGGAGCCATGCGTGGCGCATCGGGCTACGGCGACGGCAACTTCGCGGCGACTGGCCCGGGTGGGCCCGCGGCGGCCTGCCTCGCCGCAGCCGCGAGTCTGCCGCTTTCGCGCCCCAGTCCGCATGCTGGCGGCTGAGGGGCGCCGACATCTCGGTGGCGCAGCAGAATTGGGGCGCCGCGGGGGCCTTGCACGCGATCGCCTGGGAGCACTGGAACGCGCGCGCCGGCGAGCGCCTGCGGGCGAACGACAAGGTGTACTTTTCACAGCTGCTGAGCGACCGTTGTGCGACAGTGACGACGCCCGACGTGGCCGCGTAGTTCGCGCCGAAGGGGGGGGGGCATGGGGGGCAGCCTGATCCCCTGGGGCTTCGCGGCCACGTACTCGGTTGCAGTTCAGGCGGCTTTCGCGCGCTTGAAGGCGGAGGAGGAGAGCTACGCGTGGCTCGAGACGACGATCCCAGGCAGAGGCGAGGAGGTCTTCGACGTTGGCGCTGCCGTGTTCTTGGGCGACATTACCAGGCTGACGCCGATCCCCGCCGTGGCGAAGGGCGGCGACGTCGCGCGCAGGCTGAACTTCGCGACGGGGGCGATTAACCAAGAGGCCAGTGCGCAGGGCGGAGGGCTCAACGAGGACAAGACGGTCAGCGTCCTTGGGCTGTGCGGGCAGGGAGCTAGAGCGGCGACCCGCAAGGTGGGTGGTTCCACGAGGTGCCGCTGCGGTGCGCGCGCCTCCGGTTCATCAGCTACGCGTGCGAGGCTGCCCTGTCCACGCTCCATGTGCCCCTGGTCACGCCCGGCCAGATCGAGAAGCTCAACGGGGCCCTGGCGAAGCTGCTGAGATCCCTGCTCGGCGGAAGTTTCACGAGGTGGGGGGGGGGGTCGGCAGCGCGCGGACCCTCGCGAACGACCAAGTGCGGGGCAATTGGGAGCTGGCCAGGCCCGAGGTGGAGCTTCGCGCGCGGCGACTGCGGCTCTACCTGAGGGCGGCTAAGTCCCCGGAGGCGCACCGCCAGGCGATCGCGGCGGTCTTTGGCCAGTGCAGGTTCGAGGAGGAGATGGGCATCAAGCGCCTGGGGGACAGCGGATGGCCGATCGTGATATCCGCGCCGTGGTGCCACCAGCTGGAGGAGGACTTAAAGGAGGTGTGAAGGGTGAGCGACGACTGTCACGGCGTGTGGGAGGCGCTGTAGGAGGCGCCCGACGGCATGATGGACCTGTTCTACGAGGGCGAGGTGCGCGATCAGTTCGTGCACCTGGACCTGAGGGCCATGCGCACGGCGGCCTTTGCCGCGCATGCTTCCCCGCCTGGGTCTGAGGGCGGAAGGAGTGGCGTGCGCGGCGGCGGGCGAGCAGGACTGGCTCGCGCAGGCGTCCGATGAGTAATGCTGCAACGAGACTGTCGATGGCTCGATGCGCGGACCGTCCTTCTCCTCTTTCGCAGCGCTCCAGACTCATCGTCGCGTCGTTCGCGGGTTTCAGCGCGAGTTGAGGGGGCTGGTGGTCACAAACCAGGCCCCGTTGTTTTTGAGTTTCTTTCTGACAGAGGGGGGTGAGATGCAGCGTGTTTCACGAGTGGCAGGGGGCTGGGTATCCAGGGGCGCTACTAGGAAGAGGAGAATGCGCGTGGTCGATCACTCCCCGTGGCACCGCGGGCCGATCGAGCCCCCGTGTCTGCGGCATCCAGCATGGGGCCTTTCCTTCGCCCATTTGCTCGAACTCCAGGTCCCTATTCGCTTGCGTCATGCCGACCCTGCGGGCCTATCCTTTGCTGCTGGCAGCGATGGCGGCAGCGGCGGGCGGGGGCGTCAGCGTCGCAACGCCGATTGTTTTCGTGGCGGGGGGCGCGCAGGAGAGCACCTCCACGAAGATGAGGGGCAGGTCGACTGCCATGGGGGGGGGGCGGGCGAGGCGACGGCGCGAGACCCGGAGGGCGCAAAGGCGGGCGCGGGCAGCGGAGGCGCCGCGAAGGGCGAGGCGGGCGAGTTGGAGGCGGCGCCGGAACCCAAGGGGGGCGCCAAACCCAAGAGGATGAAGAAGCGAGACGGCGATGGCGGCGAGGGGCGCGCAGACGACAGCTGCTCCGCGGTGCCCGAGGAGATGGTCATCAGGCTGCAGGGGGGTGTGCTGAGCACCGTGCAGAGGCAGCGAGGGCTCGAGGGCGCGTTCTACGACTTCCGCCTCATTCCCGTCGAGAGCGCGGCGGTCCACGCGGCGGAGGCCAGCGGCAGGGAGTGCGGCCGTGGAGTCCAAGTCGCGCGCCCCGCAGGAGCTCGGCAGCCCGCGCGTGCAAGTGGTGAAGGGCGTCGTCAATAAGCTGGCGCGCGCGGGCCCGGGCAACGGCCAGCAGATGCTGCTGCCCAGTGCGCGATTGAGCTGCTGAGCAAGGC